GCAAAAGGAGTAGGCTCTAACTTTCACATTTAAAATGAAGTAGCAGAAGTAGGTGGTACAGGTGCTGTGTAGGTTTTGCAGATCTTGTGATTTCCTGGTTTGCTGTTGGCGTTTTTAATCAGTCACCGCTGTATACCCCTTGGCAAAGTGTTTTAAAGAAGCTTTGAAACCTTTCTTGTGTCATTTCCATGCCACCATGGTCTGTAGGCTCAAGAAGGAGAAATCCTGACATTTCCCAAAGGTAACATGGAGGATGCAGTAGGGAGTGGTGAGACAGAAGCGCAACCAGATGGGATGTGGTATTTGGTGAAGCTCCTGAGAACTGGGGCTTACTGGAGATCATAAAAGAAACAGACAGTGAATTCCTCCTTTCCCGAAGTTTTGCCTATGTAATAATCTTTACATGGCTCTAATTTTAGATGAAGAATAGATAAATCAAAGTTGATGCAGTACTGATGGAGGAAAGGGGCGACATGGCAAACACTGGAAGGATGCAGCTGACCTGCTCTAAATCCAAGCTGGCTGAAAAGCACATTGCTTGCTCACTGGGGAGATTCATTAGTATTAATATAGAAGTTCAGTAGGTCACGGAAGTCTCATGCTCTCCTGGAAGGCTTAGAATAGAAGAGGGAGGTGAAGGATTCAAATGTTCTTAATGTCTGTGCTCTCTGCTCAGCAGAGGACTGGAGAAAACCCATCCCCATTCCCTGCTGGCAAATTAGCCACTTTAACCATATTATTTTTCAGCAGCAGTTGTGTCTGACAAGTGACTTGAGGTCAAGGCCTTAATGTAATTTTTTTCTCATCTGATTTTTTTTTATCTCCCATAGATTAGACTATTAAATAGACTTCTAGACAGATAGAATTGTGATTAAAATAGTCTGAGTGCAAAAACACTGTGTGTCCAAAGGAAACCGAGTAAGCAAAAGTCCTGTTGTGAGACCTGAGCAGAAGCTAATGCACAGGTTTGTCATGGAGTAATTAGTGTTCTAATCTAAATTTACCCTTGAAGGACTCATCTCTGTTACAGAATCATAGAATAGAATAGTTCTGGGTGCCTTAGGCAATGGCTCATCTCCTACAACTGGTTCTTGTATGAGGGAGCACAAAGGAAAAGTTTAAACCAAGAAGTTGTTTTGGAGAGCAGTGTTGAGGTTAAATACTCATGTTTCCTAACAGCTGAACTTGTAGGTGTTGTAAGGCTTTCACTTACTGTAGATGGGCAAAGATTATTTCAGCTTAGTGTTAGAAATTAGTTGAGTTCAAACTTGCAGCTGAAGTTGTTCAACCATGGAAGTGGTATCAGAACTATCGGTTTCATCTGTTCTCCCGCAGAATGCATGCAACATAAATCAAACTTTAAAGTCACAATTTTAAGGGACCATTGTTATGATGCTTATGAAGCCATTCAAACAGTATTTTAGTAGCTGTACAGAAATCTAGTCTGTATTTCTAGATACAAGTCTGTGAATGCAGTCCCCATACTGATTCCAAATGAAATCTGTGCATGATTTGGAAAAATACGCTTTCACCTTTTATAAACCTTGGCTTGCTCAAAATCTAGACTTAGAAAGAAAGCAGTGAATATGTTTCAGAGCTCCATAAGAACAGGAAAACACTGTTGAATTTTTATGCTTCAGCCTGGCCATTCCTCCCATTTTTGTGCAGGACCTCCTCTGTCCTGCCCACATCACTGCTTTTCTCTTGCTAGACACATTTTTGTGGTGGCATTAACAAGCTGTGCCTGCTAGAATGAGTCTGCAGAAATTCCTCAATAGATTTATGCAGAGTCCTTACTCTTGTTGTCAAAGGGGGTGAGAAGGAAAGAGATTTCTATCCCTGTCTCAGAGGGTAGAGCATGGCATTCTGTTACTAAATGTAGATAAAAGATTAAGATCTTTGCAATCCTCACTCAGATAAAAATTAACACAAGACAGAAATTCTGTGGATGAAACTTGGATGATGTTTAAGTCTCAAATTGTCATGAATCTGAAAAGCCCTAGTTCTGTCCAAAGTGTTGATTCCAAATATGACCCCCAGCCAGTGCATCAGGCAGTGATGCTTGAAACTGGTTGGGATGAGGAGATAAAAGAAGCAAGTACCTAGTTCAGTGAAGCAAAAAGATGGACAGTGAGAAATACACAATTATTACATGGATAATCTACATGCACAAAGTAAATAAAATCAGGTGTTCTGAAGCTCTGAGTAGCCCTTTAATTCAAGACGACTCCTATGTTGCAGTAGAAGGTAGAGGGACTTCTGCTTAGTGTAACCTAGCTCCATATACTGTCCAGCTCTCCATGAAGAAATGTTTTCCACTCCCAGTGGCTCAACCAACCAAGTCCTTGCCTTTTAGGAAAAGCCTGAAAAAACAGATAGGTTTTGCAGTGCAAAAAATGATAAAGTTGGGCTCTTATCGCCCTTTCCTGTCAGTACTGCATTTATTCCAGAGTAGCCCCTGGTTACAAATGTAAGGGGCACTCAACAGGAAGAGCTGGCTTGGATCTGGCCAGCATCCAGATCTTTGAGGGCATTATATATCAAAACCAACTATATATCTACTTTAGAGGTGAGCCAGAGGTGCACTACAGACCAGAGTGTTGTTCACAAAACCCCTGCCAGGCTGCTGTGATCTGCAGCAGATAAATTTGGTCGGAAAATACAGCACCATGTCCAGTGCACTGCAGCAGTTTTGTAGCTGGTTACTTGCTTTAATAAGATGCCTGCTTCAGTCAAAGGTTCTGAGGTTCCTTCTTTGTATTTGTGACATCGGGTGGTAAAAACTTGGGCTCTTCATTATGCAGGGTAAAGTGAAGTATTTACCCTGTGATGTGAAACAGTGCATAAAGGATGGAAGAGTTTCATTCATCACAGTATGGCGTTTCCATATTCCTAAAGTGTCTAAGGAAGATGAAGCTTCAACAGTTCACTGCTTCCCCTTGACCTAATCAGAATGAAGATGTGTATGTCTCATACCTACAAGCCTTCTCTGCTGTATGGATGTACTAACTAAACCAACCTGAGTTTGTAAGAAGCATGAAAATAATCTAAACCACAGGGTGCCTTGTAGGGAATTACTCGCCTTCCATTTTCCCAGCAGCAAGCTGAGAGCCACAAGAAAGAAATGATAACTGCTGGCACGACAACTCTCTCAGTGGATTGTACCTAGGGCTGGGCAGCTAAGGTGCCACCTCTTATTCAATGTGAGATGTGAAGACCACTAATTTCTCCCTCAGGATATGTGACCTCAGAAGCAAGCTGAGGCAGGTAGAAGTATGACAGTACGTATTTCTCTAGTGTGTGTGTGACTGAAGTGAATTTATGCAGCAGAGTGAACAAGGAGATGGATTTTATTAGCCTTCTAAATATACTAGAGATACTGCAAAAATATAAATAAATAAAAAAGGGAAGCTGTTTTTTTTTGTTAGATTTCATTTCAGCTAAACATCTCTTCCTGTTTCCAGCACTCGATCCAGCAAATCCAACCCCTTCACTTTCTTGCAGAAGGAAGTTACAGAAATGCAAACAGCAGCTGTTTTTACAGTTCTGCAGTGTTTTGAGGGTCTAAGTTACAGGCTGTGAAGCCACCATGAGTGGTGGACACAAAGCAACAGTCATTGTCTCAAATGTGAAATACTTCGAAGCTAACGCACAGACTCCAGCAATGTCGGTTCATTCCCTTTTCCTAATGAGGTCTGTACAGGTTCAAAAGAATGACTGCATACAGAGTCTGGAGGGCTGAGACTAACATAAAATACTCAAATATTAATATAAAATACTATGCTGCTTTAGATCATACACCAGAGAAGATTCTTTAAAGCTACTTTACTATCCAGAAGTGAAGTACCATTACTCACAGCTGTAATGAATCCTAGTGAATCTGTGCCTGCTGCTGGTCTTAAAGCTCTTCAGCCCAAATCCAGAACCAGAATCTTGACATCACTGACACAAAAATCACCCCTTAGATCTTCAACATACCCATAAGAGTAGGATTCTGCTTTGATTCCCGAAAGTATTTGGACACTACCTTTGAAAAGGCGAATGTTCATCACCTATTAAAGTCTTCCATTGTGACATTTCCCCAGCCCTGTTCTTAAAAATGCTGGATGCAAAGCCAAAGAAATATTGGAGTCCTTTCTCTTGTCATTGGTGAGTTTGAATCAAGTCTCATAATGCCAAAATTAGATGCAATGGTTACAGAGAAGAATGTTGTATGTGTTCTTCAATGGCAACTTGGTAATAGTGGAATGTGGGAGCAGTATGATAGGCAGAACTGGAAGGTTGGGGGGATCTTTTCTTCCAAAACCAACACAGAGACTCCCAAGTCAAGTTTGTGATGAGGCTCTGAGTGCAGTTTTGTGTGGGATGATAATTCAGTCCTGTCACAGGAATAGCCATCCACAGCCACCCGCTGATGTGTACTCCCAGACAGGCAGAAGTGCGCACAGAAACGTGTTCCCTTGGAAATTTCCTCATTCCCTGCACTTTCTCCAACTGCTTCAGAGCCTGGGAGGCAAAACGAGTTAAAACCAGCATGTTTATTCAGGCAGATGAGACTTTATTTCGCAAAGGAAGGAGGATTCACCCATATTTGTGTATATATATTTATATATTTACACGTGTTTCTATGTTTTTACATATAGATCGGTATATTTGTGTATGTATTTAAGCAAACGCAGAGGCGGGCGGGCAGCACCGGGCTGTCGGACAGCAGCCGCAGCCCGTGTAGGTGGGAAGGCGGCGGGGGCTGCGCGGGGCGCGGGCGGTCCCCCCGTGTCTCCCGAGCCGCGGTGCCCCGGCGGGGACGTGTCCGGGTTCCCAAGCGAGCGGCGCGCAGGCGCCTCTCCCTCCCCAGCCCCGGTGAGATGCTCTCGGACGTGGGAAGGGGATCGCCTTGCCTTGCGCTGCCTCCCGCCTTCTCTCCGGCCCCTCTGCCCCACTTTTCCTCCTCTTAGCACAGTCCTTGGCTGGGTTTCATTGGCGGGTCCTCCCCCCCCCTTGTTGTTTATTGCTCGATTTTGGTCTGTTTGGGGTTTTAATATAACACACTCCCGGCGAGCCCGTTTGCCACCCGTCTCTCTGTAGCTCCCGCTCCTCCAAACAGCGCTATCTGAAGGGAGACCCGCCTGTTGATTATCCCCCACTCCCCTTTCCCTCCGCTTCCACCCACCGTCTGCCCCCACCCCTCCCTCCTCTTGATTTCAAACCTTTGGATGGTGTTTTGGTGTCATTAGGAGATTAACATCCCTGGAGCACCAGGGGAGGAGGAGGAGGAAGAGGAGGAGGGTTGAAGGGAGAGAGAGAGAGAGACAGCAGGCAGGAAGGTTGGCGTATTAGCACGAGTGAGGCTCTTCTCCCGCCGTCCCAGCCATCCCCGGCTCCTCGGTGGCAGCGGAGGGGGGCGGTTGCCGGCACCGCGGGCTGAGCCCGGTGCCCGCGTCCGCGGAGCTGCGGCTGCCGGCGGGCGAGCGGCCGCGGCTCCTGCTCGCAGCCCCCCTCTCTTTTATGAGCAGCGAGGCGGAGGAGCGGCAGCGGGGGACACCAGGAGGAGCATTTCTTCCCCGGGGTTTATGAATGGCACTGACATGGAGGAAATACCGTTTCAGAAAGTCAAGACCAAGAGGAAGAAGTGCTGTCACTGCTGCTGCTCACCGCCGCCTGCCGCGGCAGCGGGAGCGGGAGCCGGGCTGGGGGACCCCCCTCCCTTGCTGCTGCTGGATGCCATCGCCTGCGAGGACGAGTTTGACTGCAAGGAGCTGGAGGCTCTCTTCCAGAGCTACAACCTGAAGCTGGAGCAGACGTCCACCCTCAAGGCGCTGGCCGTCCTCATCGTGCTCACCGCCAGCCTGGCTCTGGTGGAGCTGCTCTCCGGCCCTAGCCTAACCATCTCCAAAGGGTCGCACCCGGTTCACTGCATCATCTTCCTCTCCCTCTTCATTGTCACCAATGTCAAGTACCTGCAGGTCACCCAGCTGCAGCAGATAGTCAAGCTCACCTTGCTCTTCAGCTTCACCTTCTCCTTTCTCTGCTGCCCCTTCTCGCTCGGCGCCTACGGCATGGAGCCCCCCAACACCCCGGAGCAGGGCATGTGGCAGCTCATGCTGGTCACCTTCGTCTCCTACTCACTGCTGCCCGTCCGGACCCTGCTGGCCATCGTCTTCGGGCTGGTGGTGTCCGTCTCCCACCTCATCGTCACCGCCACCTCCGTCAGTGCCAAGCGGCAGCGGCTCTGGAGGACGGTGAGGCAGGGCCGGGCCGGGCACTGCAGCACTGCACAGCCGCGCGGTGCGTGCCCGGGGCGGGGGAGCGCGGAGCGGCCCCCGCGGTGTGCCCGTCGGGAAGGGGCGAGCACGCACCGCGCTGCAGGCGGTGGCTGGAGTTCCCCAAAGTTTCCAGAGGGCGGGAAGGGGGGAATAGGGCGGCTCCGGCAAGACGGGACCGCGCGGCTTTGTGTCTCGAAGGGAAACAGGGGAGAGGGCAGGGGAGCCTGCACTGCCGTTCCCACGCTGGGGCAGGGCAGGAGCACAGTCAGTGCAAATCCGGTGTGCGTAAAGAGCACCGCTTGACTCAGGACCAAACTTGGCACAGGCGATAAGCTGTGTGTGCTTGGGTTGAGTTGGTTCGCACCCTCGCTCTCTCTCTCCGCCGTGGACCCATCTCGGCGTGGGGAGTCTCTGCAAAACTAGGTGAGACACTCAGAGGGAGAAGCCCACCTTGCTGTTCTCGCATGGAGCGAGGCGTTCCCCTTCCAGTTCACCCAGGGCAGTTGCTGCCCCCTCTCCACAAGCATTACCTGCAGTGTCAGTGAACTTCCTGCCGCTTCCCTTTCCCCTCTGAATTAATCCAGCAAAACCTCCCTCTGCAGCAAGCATCTTTGGAAACGTGCTGCTGCACTCTCCCCCCGCTCTTTCCCGAGTAGCTATTTATAGCCCTGCAGGGCTTTCTCCGGCTCCCGTGGCCTGATGGGCCGCACTGGCAGGGGGAGGAGGATGAGGAGATGTGTGTATGGGAAACGCTGGGGCTGGGAGCTGGGGTTTGCTGCTTATGTGGTGTGGGAAAGAGAAATTGCAGTTTCTTTGCGTCTTCCCTCTCACGGCATTGATTATGTCTGCCCTCAGGGGAAGCACGCTGGTTCTGGGGTCCAGATCGGTGTTAAACAACAATTTAATGCATAATTGAAGTACTTAGTACATTACTCCTGCTGAATTGTGGTGTTATTCTCCACGGCTGGGTAAGGCTGTGTTGTGGTGCTAGGACACACACAGTTGGCACGGCCATAAACACTGCCATAAACACTGCCATAAGCAGAATTGTGCACCTTTGTGTCCAGAACTGAGAATTCCTTCCTCCGCTGTACATGCTCGCACAGACACACACACCCCAGTGTGACATCCATGCAGATACTGGGGATACACAGGGACAATCAAAATAGTGGGGTTACTGAGACAAACAGGATTATTCTTGGCTTCGTGCTGCTGAGCTGGTGGACAAAATAAATTGTATATTTTGAAGGGGAAGAGAGAGATAAGCTGAGCTTTATGATTTACCCAGATAATCTGATGGTCTATTTTTAAATGCGTGATTTAGAGTTTCCATGAGAGGGAGAGCTGATGAAATGCAGGAGCACTGAGAGGAGCATTCCTTAAAAGCATCCAAAAGGATGCTAAAACCACTAGAATATTTTCTCTTTGAGTAGGGCTGAAGGCAGCTCTTTTTACTGGAGTACCCATTAGTGCTTGTGGGAGTCCAGGTTGTCCTGGCTGCCCTGACACAGAGGCAGGTTTTCCTTGGTGCCAAGTTGCAGCTCAGTGTGGCACCTGCTGTTCTAGATGAGCGACATAAAGAAGCTGACAGCAAGGTCTGCTCACTAAATAATCTAACCGAGGACTTGAGTGTGAAACATTTAGGGGAGAGGAAATGTGCTAACTCCCTTTCTTCACACTGGTTTGACTTGGCTATTCAACAGGCGAGAAGCTGGCTTAAAAATCCTTAGAAGTAGTTGACTAGTGGCTGATGAGACACACTTATGTTTCTTCTTCATCATCTTCTTCCTTCCCACCAAAGTAGTTCCAATAATTTGTATGCAGTCCCCAGGGCTGTTTTCTTTGCTGATAACAGGAGGCAGAAACCAGCTCTGAGCCAAGCAGAAGAACTGGTCTATGAACCTGTGTTGCACAGAAATACACTGATTTGTCACACGTTTGCAAGCAAAAAGTCATCTGATTTGAAGACTCTCTGTGTATGGAAGGGACTCTTCCCTCACACAGAAGTTGATGTTTGTTCTCATTTCCAAGGAACAATTTCACAATGGTTGGAAATTTAAAGCCTTGTAAAGGCTGCATCATCTGAATTTTATTTGCCTGGCCTGAGAGTAGCTCAGCCTTTTTTGTGGAATCTAGGATGGATGCTGACTTGCAGTCCGGATCTGCTTCCCAGCCACTGGATTTGATCATGCCCATCCCAGTGCTTGTAAACACACCATGCAGTTGGCCTCTCAGGGAGGCAGGACTGCTCTCTGCAGAGCTGCAGTAGCATGGATGGCTCTGTTCTTTCTCCCAACCTTTTGCCCCTAGCTCCAATAAACCAGGTGAATTTAAATCTTTAAATAGAAACCTGCTGTATCCAGAAATGGAGAAACACGTGCACCAACCACTGAGGCTGTGTTTATTTAAGGAAGCCTTTGATTTTGGGGTAATTCAGGTAGGGAACCACTCTTACTTTTGTTTAGCCTGAGCTTTAAGGGAGCACAGATTCAACTTGCATTGAAGTTAAGCTGGATGCTGTCAGCAAGAGCAAGCACTTCACGTTGTTTCAAGTTCAACCCATTTTAAACCAGGCATAGTCAAGTTAATGGGCTTGTTCTGAAGTGAACTTCTGGATGCACATCTTCTATTCCATGTTATCTGAGGAATCACCATATGCAGATCCTTGAATGCTGAAAACCTCACTGATGACAAATAATGCTGAATCAGATCTGGAGTAGGTCCCATGGCATGCTTAAAATTTGCATTCATATAAATGTACAAACACTTCAGCATATTAAAATCAATAGATCAAGTTCATTGTGGGAGAAGTTTGTTACTGGGTTTACACAGTAAAGCACTTAATTTGCTTTCTGTCACCACAGTGTTTTTTTGTGGAGATCATAGGCTCCCATCTTCCAGCTTTCTCTACCATTAGATGTCATGTCATGCTGGAGTTGGGACACAGGTATGTATAAAAAAGCAAGAGGAGAGGAGGAATGCAAGTACAGGGAGCCAAAGTGCCATGAGAGTAATGTGGCAGAACTTGAGCTTCATCTTTCCACTCAGTATCTGTTTTTATATCAAATGGAAGATTCCAGTATGCTGATCCGCTAACCTGCCCTGACCATTTCTTCAGAGAAATGCAGCAATAGATAAAATACATATATGAATAGCTGGAATATTCTTAGTATGTGAAGAACTTTGGGGCTGCCTTGACCAAGTTCATGGCAAAAGGTGTGCTGACTTCACAACTGGTTTTGCATGTCTTTTTGACACTGTGCTAAGGGTGTCAGTTGTGTGTATATAACCAATAGCGTATTGGTCATGTTAGCTGGGCTCTGTCGCTGCACTGGAGTCATGGAACAAAATGCACGTGCCATATGTGACAAAGTGTCCACAGGCATCTGACCCTACAAATCGAGTTTTAACAGCTTCAATTCTAGTCTTGTGTTTGTTTGCTCATTTCTTTTTTCCCCACCATCTTGTAGATGTATGTTAGTGCTTCAGAGCAGTTATGGAAATGCAGAACCCTGCCCCAAGGAGCTTAGTCTAATTTTTGCTGTGGTGCAGTGAGTGGGTGTTAAGAGACATTAAGGCCAGATGGGGTGAGAAAGGCAAAGGCTGCTCACAGGAATTACTCAGTAGTAGCATATGCAGCTTCATGACTGTTAGATAACTTTTGTTGTGCCTCTAAGCATTTTTGACCCCTTTTTTAAAAAGGGGGACAAAAAGGGAAAGGAAATTCAAAAGCAAATCATACACCAACAAAGCGCCCTCACACATCACAGAAACCCTTGTGAAAGACCAAATCTTGGGAGAAGACTGAAGTTCCAACATGAAGAACAGAGAGCAGAAGGAAGAAAGGTGCTAGCATAAATTAGTGAAGAAAATAGTGTGGGGCTTTTTTAACAGTGTGGTGTACTAAATGTTATAGATCTTTTCAGACTGTATTTAAAACTGGTTTTATGCCTGTATTTATCTATTTGTATGGTTATCAGCGTTACTGGTTCAGCCAGTACCAAAACTGTAGTGGGGAATGGGCAGACTATGAAAAGGATAACATGGAGGAAACTGGTAAGAGGTACTTGAAATCATTTAATACTTAACAACTTTATGTTTTTCTTAGCTCATTGCAGGTTATTGTGGCAGTAGTCTGGAATGTCATAAGGAATCATCATTAGCACCAAAGTTAATATTATTTCTGCTAGTGTTAAAAATGTAATTAGGGAACATATCACTGAAAGATCTGTTATCTCCACACCTTTGTCTCACACAGAAGGTAGAGTCTAGCAGCCTGATGAAAAGGGCTGCAAATAAAAGACAGCTCAGCACCATTGTTGTTATAATTCAGTGCAAAGCTCAGGTTTTCTCCTTCATGCATATAAAGTACTGCTGAGGGACTGTCCTAGTTCATTCTGAGTGATGCTTTTCAAATATTAGTATCAAGAATATCTCCAATATTGCAAACATACCCTAAAATGCACTTAAAATCTGTTCGAATTCACTGTTTTCGTCTCTTTTTAAACATTGGGACCATTGCTCTTAGAGATTTTCAGTATCTGTGCCTAAATCCAAGTTGATATTTAGCTCATATTAAAAGATGGTAAAGCTTTTTCTTGTTCGTAGTTATAATGGGGTTTTAATCTTCACTTGTGCATGGGGATTGCCAGGTATTGACCACAGTCCTTTTACCAAGGGGCTGAAATACAGGATTTTTTATGGAATGCAGAGCTCAGTGTCTTTTTTCACACAGAGATTAATAAGCTCTTCGCTTCCCGAATCTGCACACTGCTGACACTGCTAGTCTTCATGGGGTTCCAAACAATAACAGCATGCTGATGGTGCTGCATGCTTGAGAAACAAGAAGCCTTTGGGAAACCAGCAAGAAGCACGCAGACTTGATGAAATAGTAAAGACCAAATAACTTAATAAATGTAATTGGTTTTCTTAACAGCCTGAGGAAAATGTAGTTTCCCTCCAATGAATGTCACCAT